GGCGGTTACCTGCACGCCGCCGAAGTCGCAGAGGCGGCGGCCGAACTGCTCGCGCGTGGCGGCGTGCTCGGCGGCCTGGCGGAGGGCGGCGCGCTGGGTGCCGGCGAGCGCGGCCGCCATGCCGAAGCGGCCGTTATTGAGGATGTTCATGGCGACCTTGAAGCCGTTGCCGAGGCCGCCCAGCACGTTGGCGGCGGGCACGCGCACGTCCTCGTAGTACACCTCGGTGGTGTTGGAGCACCGGATGCCCATCTTGCTCTCGGGGGGGCCGGAGGACACGCCGCCGAAGCCGCGCTCCACGATGAACGCCGTCACCTTTATGGAAATCGGCAAACTTGGCTTAGAAGCTTATCAAGGTCAGTAGTTAGTAACTACTAAGAGGAGATTCTGTCTGAGCTAGTAAGGTCCCTTTTAATAGGTAATCATGCAACCAGCTGATCGCCATCTGACATCCTGAATACAGTGGTGCAGAGTGATGCTGTGCGGTGCTGTACGATGCGATACAGGGTGGTGGTGAGTGGTGCAGCGCTTACCTTATCGATCGTCTTGCCGTCGCGCTCGACCGGCGTCTGCGCGAACACGGTCATGATCTCCGCGATGCCGCCGTTGCTGATCCAGATCTTTGAGCCATTGAGGATATAGTGCTGGCCATCGGGCGTCGGCACCGCGCGCGTCCTGAAACACACATGTGGCAGCTGAGAGCATTTAGCGGGGTTTAGAGGGCATAATGGTCTGAGGGGAGAAGAGAAACTTACTTGATGGAGCCGGCGTCGGAGCCGGAGGAGGGCTCAGTTAAGCAGAAGGCGGCGTACTCCCCGCCGGTGACGCGCGGCAGGTAGCGCGCGCGCTGCTCCTCCGAGCCGAACAGCAGGATGCCCTTGAAGCCGATGGACTGGTGCGCGCCGAGCGTGATACCGACGCCGAGGTCGTGCGCGCCGACCACTTCCACGAGCCGCGCGTACTGCGTGTTGTTGAGCCCCAGGCCGCCCAGCTCCACCGGCACCTGCAGCCCGAACGCGCCCAGCTCCCACAGCCCCGACAGCGTGCCCGCCTCGATCTGCGACTCCGCGTCGTTCTTTGTCGGATCGTTTACCTAAAAGTAGCGATATTACACATCACTGTCCGTCGAAACGCTGAAAATCATTAGGTACGGAAAGGCAAGAACTTGCATACTACTACCATTGAGACTCGGAAGTGAAACATAATAAGGATTCTCATTTAAGACTTTCACCGGGAAACGACGTGCGCAGAGGAAACCCACATATTATTTGGTTATCGTAACATTGTACACATCAATTCCGCCTATAACATGATAAACATCTACATTAAATACTAAATTATACGATTAATAATAAAAACATGCAGTGTGAACTGAGTCAGAACAGTCACCAAATAGAATGTGTATTTTTGTAATGCACCTCCTCAAAAAACTTTTCAACGGGTGGCACGAGCTCGGCAAGGGTCTGGCGTTGGTCTTCGGTGAGCGGCTCGGGAAAGGGAAACACCTGCGCCGTCTCCACGTGGCCGCGGAACAGGTTCAACGTGAAAGAGGCACTCTGGCGCGCACCCCGGCCCGCCTCTGGCCGCGCCGCCTCCGTAGCCAGCGCTCGCCGCCCGCTGCGACCCACCACACCTGTCAGTCTCGTCACGTGTACCAGGCAGCCGCTGCCCACTTGGGAGGGCTGCCAACACCAACCTACCAGCTACTCATACTGCTGCCATGCAACTCTAAGCCTTTATGCATAAAGTTTTTTACACTTCCATTCAATGGTTTCCAAAAACCTAATATATGTATGTCTTCTTTGCCTTTCTAAACCCTGAACTATTGGTCCCATTGTAATGAAATTCTAGTAGGTTGTTTGGAGAAAACCAGAGAAGGGTTGTGATGTAAAAAAATATTTTCTGGCCGATCAGTCAACTGATTCACTAATGGGAATTATTTTCCAATATACCTAAACATACAGATAACTAGCAGTTTCAGTATAAGAAGTCCTCGCACAATGTCATGTTATAAAAATTTCAGGACCAGACAAAGACTCTTACATAAAGTTTCACTTCACCGTCACTTATGCCGGTTTGACTGCATAAAATATTTCTGGAACTCTTTCAGGAAAAGACATTTTATTTAGAGCAATCAAAGTAGAAAACAATCAAATTCATTTCTATTGAAATAAGTATTTAGGTAACAAAGGCATCTAAAAAAATGTATTGCTGGGCCAATAGACTACACAACATAGTCTGCAAGAATACAGGCTACAGGCTACTTGTTAATTTTTTTTTAATTCCGCGCGAACGACAGCTAGTTATTTTATATTTAAGAAAAAGCAAGACTTTAAACTTGGCTTTGTGACTATACTATATGATGCAACAATTACAAAAAGGTGACTTCAAAGCTCAATTTGTAATGACCCGCTACAGCAATTGTACAAAGTCCAAGGTTCATGTGGGTAAAGTTTATTTAGGTCACAGCTGATTTTGATATCTCAGTAAACTTCTATTGACCAATTAAAACCTACCTTGGTGATAGTGACAACTCCCTTCGAACACATCGACTTGCACATCTTATTATTTTGGTTCCTTGCATTATTTACTTCTAACAAGAAAAGTACAAACCAGAACAATAAATACAAAACTAAACTTAAAAGTTATTTAATACTGTCTAAATAAATTAACGAGCTCAGAACAAAACGTAGGTAGTTCTTATAACTAATCACACCTCGCAAAGAGAGTATTAGTTTTAATGACTAAAAGCTTTTAATTTAAAAATCCACATTGCTACTTTGTTGGAAATTGTAAATGTAAAACTGTGCATCTACCAACATTACAAAAAAACAACTTATCGTCTTTCTTTTCAATTCAATGTCAAAACTTTAACCATAGACAGTTTGCGTCTTCGATTACATATAGACGAGATCCGACAGATTCCTACCATAATATAGATATGGATGATATAAATTAAGACAAAAACACATTTTTTGTAGCTCAATAGCAGAAAAATCTTCTATAAAGAAATTATTTATTTAATTTAATGTATTAAATAAAGAAACAATACGAATTTGGGGTGCTCGGGAACTGTACCCTAGAGTTGGTCCACAACTATCAAATGCTATGACCATAACTATATTCAGTACAAATTTGCAGACAGTTGTAGTCCACCGTATTTTAAGACTTTAGAAAATAATAACCGAAGTAATACCCACATAAATAAATACTAGAACATCTATTCTACCATATTCATAACAAAACACTTAACATTTGAATAAGTAAACAAATATCAAAAATTGAGAAAGGCTTTGATCAACAAACTGACAAGAAACTAAGAATTTCTAATGATTTCCGCGCCGGTTACTTTTAGATCGGCCGTGCCTTTTTTTAATTAATATTTTCTGTTAGTAATTTAGATTATAAATGTTAGCCTATTACTTGTAACATATATCTTAGTAGTTTACTATCATTTCATTTCTATAAGAGCTACAATAAATGTGTTTCCGTCTTAAGAGGTCCACAACAATATTACAGTCGGGATCTATCGGATCTCCCCTACCTACCTACCCTTCATATGAACTCTGTGGAGGTCAGTTTTCTCGCACTAGATATCTATGGTATCTTCATTGGCCAACATTCAACATTGGCATTTGGCATTCGAATGAAACTTCAAAACATTTAACTGGACATGACATTTCTAGTTTCTACAAATTGTTATCCTCGACATGACGTGATTTGTAGATATCTTAGTACATTTTTTTGTTGAAAATGTTTTTTTATATAATAAGCTAGAAAATTAAACATGTTCACGTACATTCTAGAAATTAAAAAAGAGCTATTGGTGTGCGTATCCTTGTCGGTGTTATACTTAACCTATTATCTAGTAGAGGTAGTCAAGGTAAAGTCTATTCTATTATCTTTTAAAATTGCGATAAGATCGCTTCCACAATTACCTGTGCAGCTGTATATGTACTCATAGCTAGCATGTTTTATAACATAAGAATTTAAAATTGCGTTATTTCAGAAACCCATATTAATTTGCCGGAAAGGCGAATTTCGACAACTTCTAGAAAAGAATGTGCCGATTCTGAATGAATATTATTGGCCCACGCCGTGGTGCGTGGAATCGAGGTTGCAGACGGTAATCGGGTCTATACTACGTTCGCTGTTGTTGCCGCCGCTTCAATTTCGGCGGTAAATAAAAAAAATTATGCAAACTGGTTGGTTATATACAGTTATCATAAAATACAATTAATTCCAGGATTCCTTATTTTTCTATATTAATTATGAAAAGAAGGCGTCGGCGACAGCTTAAAATATATTTTGTGTTTCTAGTGATTTATTGAAGTTACTCAAGTTTATAATAGTTATATTGTAAGTTTAGCATTTGAGATGTGGAATAGCATGGTCATCAGAGGTAAATATTGAGAAGGGAAGGTTTTACAGAGAGGTGTTGAAGCTCTCGGATGGCGGGCAGGTGGCCCTGGACTGGCTGGAGGAGGACGATGCGGGGGCGGAGTGCCGCGCCGTGCTGCTGGTGCTGCCGGGGCTGACGGGCGGCGCACAGGCGGACTACGTGCGATGCCTGGCGGCCGCCGCGCGCCGGCTCCGCGCCGCGCTCGTCGTGTTCAACAATCGCGGCCTGGGCGGCTTGCCTCTCACCACGCCGCGCCTCTACTCCGCCGTCAGCCACGAGGTGCGTCACTTTACTCCGCACTTCAGGATGAACATATGCAATGACCTCGCGATGTCGTCATCACGGTCACGACGTCGTCGAGTGGATGCTAATGACCATTATTAAGAATAAGAGATTATGGAAATTTTGTTATTGAATAATCCAGTAATTGCTTTGAGTATTTCATAAAATAATGCATTAACGAGCAATTTGCAATATATTATGAAAATCAAAATTAGAAAAGAATTTGTTAAGTGTAGGATTGTGGTTGGAACATAAGAGTAATGAAGGTGCGGTGGCAGGAGGTGGGCGAGGCGGTGAGCGCGGTGCGGGCGCGCGGCGTGCCGGTGCTGGCGGCGGGCGTGTCGCTGGGCGGGCTGCAGCTGGGCCGCTACCTGGCGGAGCAGGGTGCGAGCGCGCCGGTACACGCCGCTCTCATCGTCTCCTCGCCGCTCGACGTCGTCAAAGGTGATTTTACTCATTGTTGGCCGAACAAAATGATGTCCAATGTATTTTGTGCAAGATAGTTATTAGTGTACCGCGGCCGAACCGACCAAATAGGAAAAAAATTGAGTCTGAAATAGCGCATAGGGCATTAATAAATGAGGAGGTGTAGGGTCGCAGTGCATGGAGCGCGCGGGGCTGAACGCGGCGCTGTCGTGGCACATGGCGCGTCAGCTGCGCGGCACGGTGCGCGCGCGACTGCCCGCGCTGGCGAGCGGGGTGCGCTCCTGCCGGTCCGTGCGCGCCTTCGACGCGGCCTTCACGGCGCCGCACTTCGGGTTCGCGTCGCCCGAGGCGTACTACCGCGCCGCCTCGCTGGCCCCCCGGCTGGGGCGCGTGGCTCGGCCGCTGCTCTGCCTCTGCGCCGCCGACGACCCCTTCCAGCCGCTGGAGGCGCTGCCGGTGCGCGAGGCGGCCTCCAGCGCGTGCGTGGCGCTCTGCGTGACGGCGCGCGGCGGACACATCGGCTTTCTGGAGGGCTGGTGGCCGGCGCGCGCTCCCCACACGCAGTACGTGGCGCGCCTCGCCGAGCAGTACTTCGCGGCGCTGCTGCCCCCCACCACCACCACCACCACCTCCACCACCACCTCCACCACACCTCTACTCTCTTAGTGATTACATATTTTGCACTCACAAAAATACACCCATATAGGCATACTAAATATAGGAAAATGATGCGCATAAATTAGTTAATAATAAAAGACAATAAGAGGGCAGAGGAGGGCGGAGGAGGGCGCGAACGCACCGGATGTCCACGCAATGAAAACGCACAATGGAATTTGTTCCCACATCTGGTGAGTTTATATAGAGAAGAGGTTTGCGAGAGCAGCATGTCGGAGGAGAAGAAAGCTCGTTTGTTTATACAACAGGAGCAAGCGGGAGAGAGGAGGAGAGAGGAGGAGAGAGGTGGAGAGAGGTGGAGGACGAACAAGTGCACTTATTATTTACACGAAGGCGGGAGGTCCGCGGCTGTAGCTACGTAAGGATATCAAAGCTTTTGCTTAACTTTTATAGTATTATATAGTGAAAGAAGCGAACGAGAGGAAGGTTCCATTAAGTCTGTGATGTAACTTACTGATTATAAATGATGTTGAAGTTAATTGTTCTGTTGAGTCGCGTGAGGTTGCATGAGGCTGCGTGAGGTCGTACGAAGCCGCAAGAGGTGTCATGAGGCTGCGTGAGGTGGTACGAAGCCGCAAGAGGTGTCATGAGGCTGCGTGAGGTGGTACGAAGCCGCATGAGGTATCATGAGGCTGCGTGAGGTCGTACGAAGCCGCATGAGGTAGTGCCTCACGCGACGCTGCGCTAATTTTATTAATATTGTTTTGTTTAGAAAATGTTTTAAGAAAAGGTGCTTTAATGGTATAATATGAATTCGTTGAAATTAATAACTTTTATTATAAAATGTATTTTATACTGAGATGCGTGTAGAGGTCGTATTTACAAGTCCAATATATAGTGCGGGGGAGGTGCGAGGGGCGTCATCTATGTGTGGACAAGAAATAAAGGTATTCGAAACGTATGCACGAGTTTTATTGTGGAGCCTCGTCTGTGCGAGCTGAGCAGAGCTGAGCCGGAACGCTGAGTGGGGGACTGCGCCCTCCATCATTACACGAGATGACGAGAAACACAAACAGGAAAATGAATTGAAGTAATTGTCGTGTAGCCCGCGAGTTATGTACACATGAACAAACATTCACACCGCCGATGTGTTTACATGAAACATATAACAAGAACTGTCCGGACGTACATAGATAAAAATAATAAAATATAAAATTGCTTTAAAATTTTATTTTTGTTTCCTTGAATTATAGGTACAGTTACAGTTTCGTAGAAAATGTGTTGTCCACTAAAGTAATTAATAACATTCAGAAATGTTCCTTAACTAGGCGAGGTGACAGGTAATGTCCGACGGCCGACGTCACGTAAGTCCTCCTCCTCCTGCTGATGGCACTTTTATATATTCATAACTTTGTTAAAACGCGCAGGCATAAAATACTGTTGTACTGAAATTTGTATGGCGTCATATACATACATACATCGATTTCGATCGGTTTTCAGTAATTCATTTTAAGCAGCTTCGTTTAACATTTCACGTTCGTTTCACCTCAAGCGGTGCCGCGTCTCCGTCAGCAGAGGTGCAGGTCGTGTCCCAGCGCGCGGCAGAACGCCGCCACCAGCTGCTCCGCGCGCTCGCGCCGCACCCCGCGCTCCTCGCCCTCACCCGCCGCGCCCTCCTCGCCCACCGCGCCTACCGCGCCCACCACGCCCCCCGCGCCCACCGCGCCCAGCACACCCAGCGCCTCGGCGAACGCCTCCGCGCGCTCTACGGCGCTCTCCTCATCTTCTTCGTCACAACTTCCGCCGTCCGATGATTCCTCGTCATCTGAAATGTGCAAAGTGAATCAACGTGGAGTCCGGTTCTCATTGTTGTGCGACAGATGGATACAAACAATTCCATCTCTACTAAATCAGCAGCACCGTGTGCCTCCCGACCCTACGACTGCGTGTACCCCCGCACCCTGCACCCCCGTGTGCCCATGCAACCCTACACCGTGTGCCGCATTATTTTACCTTCTAGTTTTTTTAGTAACAACGGTCAACAACACATTTCCCCAAACTATGTTACTGTGTACATATTTAACAAAGCAATAAAAAGTAAGATTAGGACATTGTAAATGGACCTTAAGATATAAATCCATGTCCCATATGTAATAACATATACCTGAGTAAAAGAGAGGCGCGGGTGCGGCGCCGCGCCGGCGTAGGCCCGGCCATACGTGGGCGTGTAGCGCAGACCGCGCGCGCGCCACGCCCACCTCGCCCACGTCGCCCTCCCACTCCCCCGCACCGCCCTCCTCGCGCAGCGCCACCAGCTCGTAGCGCGCGCTGGTCGCCCACGACGCCAGCGCCCCTGTCACAGAACAGTGCACCAGCTTTTGTCAGAGTAGACACCCCACTGGCAACATATGGTGAGTGAGGCGAGTGAGGGGGCACGTACCGCTGGGGGCGTGGCCGTCGAGCAGCGCTAGGCGCACGGCACCGCGACGCAGCAGCGGACTGGCGCGCGCGCGTCTCTCCTCTGCCACGCTCGCGCCCTCGCCCTCGCCCTCGCTCTGTGTGCACCGCACATGTCTTATCATAGGTTTGTAGCTAAATACTGTTATGAAGTAAAACCGACATTGTGCCAGTGTAAATATCAATGCTTACATCCCTTCACTAATCGCTCTGACACTAAACAAATCATTAGACAATATAAATCCTCAACAAAATTTGTAACAATCGACGACGACGACGATATTACAATAATATAATTATAGTTTGTCATTGTTGAATAAGTTTCAATAGGAACCCAGTCCTACAGAATTCATTGTCAAATAAATATAAACCTGAACTTTTAGATTGATTACTAACAAAGAAGCCAGAGCACCACATTAATGACTATAATAAGATCTCACCATGCCGGTCACAGATAAACTAGGATACATTAACAAGAAGCGAGGATAAACTCCACACTACTTATAATAGTGCAACCATATAAACTTATTTTGAATCTTTTACAATGACTTATTTCATGGAAACACCAAATGCAACTGAAAAATTTTACATAATCTGTTCAATCAGTACGATGAACAGTTATAAATTCCCACTGATAGGTAGACTGATTGGAAGAACCCAAAACACCTACACTTGTATTGAGCATATACAATTCATGAAGCTACCTCAGTTGCTGAGAGATAGATGAGATGTGCATCAGCGCGCGGCATGGGGGGTGTTGGCGCAGCGGCGTCTGGCAACGCCTGCAACCGCACTGATGCCTCATAATACTTGTTCTCTAGCCGCCAGACATGCCAACCTGTCTCTTTGTACTTTTTATCTTCTACAATGTTGTCTATTAATTCTGTAAGTATTGAGTACTTGGATAAGTTAACTATAATAAACAACTAAGTTTGCACAAAGTATTAATATTTTTATTAAGAGACTAATCTTAAACTGTAGGCACATGTAATTTCATTGATGATGTTAAAATAAGCTTATAAAGGAAATTATCTAATATTAAATGTATATCGGTGAGAGCCAACAAAAAAAGCAATAAAGCTGCTGAAAAGTGTTAGTTTTAGTGTATTAAAAATCTTATGCTTCTAGAAGCACTCTAAGAGACATGAAATCGGGATTGCATGTAGCGCACCCAGGGGCTGGGATCATACAAGATTCAAGCCGATAACTGTATAGCATTTGGCGAAAAAAGCTAATAAAAAATCAGAAGTTCCGAGCATTTTCTTTTTAGTTAGTTAGTGAGACTCAGACTGACAAGATATTTTTTTTAACATACGTGAAAAATTTTATGAGTTAAAGTTATAGTTTACATATTTCAATTTACTATATATAATAAGTACCTGAAATAATTTTTGTTGCTGTACTATTATCCGTTGCACTTACTAATATAATGGGTAAATCATATGACGACATAATTATACACTAAAATATAGTAATGTCATTATTTATAATTCTTTTAGACCTAAGTATAGTGTCACCAACTTATATGTGAACTGACGGGTGTCGCGGCGTCGTTTCGGTGTTGCTAGTTAATTCCAGTGTGCACAAAGGTCGGGAAAGTCGACACATTTTTTTTCTATTATTTAGTTTGTATTTACGATAAACTGCTGTGACATAGGGATTCAGAAGTATCGTAATAAAACACACGGAACACGGGAACACTCTAAAGTAGTAGACACTGACAGTCGAATGACATTTCAACCTGTCACCGTAGTTCCTATTTTTGCCATTTCACAGATAAGTTGGTGGCACTATAGCTATAGCTACATAAGTGACACACAGAGTACTATAACTTGTAGTGTCACCAACTTATCTGTGAACTGGCGGGTGTCGCGATCGTCGTTTCAGTGTTGCTAATTAATTCCAATGTGCACAAAAGTCGGGAAAGTCGGCACATTTTTATTTATATTAATTAGTTTGTATTTACGATAAACTGCTGCGTGACATAGGGATTGCATCTATAATATACCAATACATAAAATCCAACCTCCTTGTATATATATAGCCTTATAAAAAGGAGGCTTTTATATAGCCCTGAATATAGATCCCGAATCCTGAAAACGTGAAAGTTGGTCAAAAGTCAAAATGTTCTAAAATTTCAAAAAACAGTCAAAGTATTATAAATTATTTTTTCTGCTTAAATTACGAATGTTTTGGTCCAATTTTTGAGTGCAATTAATAGCTATGTTACTTAGGTAACTAATCCAAAAAAATTGCAGGAATATCTTCATATTTGTAGCCACAGTGTCTAATCATATGGTGGAGGGTATCAAATTATAACTTTTAAACAAAAAGAGTTAGATTTTTTTTGTATTTTCCCTGTGTAGTTATGGATCTGGCTATAAACCATTACAGTTTTACGAACATGTTTACAATACTGTTTCCACTCATGAACAGTAATAGCTTCAAATGCTTGTATTACCAGGCGAGAGATCTCATCATTTTTGTGATTAATATTTACACTAGCCACGTTTCTTTCTCATTGTGCTGCATATTAATTTAAATAGATTAAGGTCACAGTGATAGGGGAGTAAATACAAGCAAATGTGACCATTTTCTGCCAAAATCCTTTCAATCTCGTATATGGGCTGAGGTTTGTTTCTTTTAAATATTTCTAATAGCTGAGATTTAGTTAAATCTTCTCCATGCTCGATTTTATTTAGCCTAAGCCATAACTGCACATCTTTTTTTAAAGCGTTTGAATTTGGGACTTTATGCACGTAAACACGGTTATAAAGAGCATTATCCATTATAATAATTGATGGCTCTATTAAATTAGGCACTACAAGTTTTCATTCATTCGTTTTTTGAAATTGGCACTAATCATTTCATCGTGCAAGTGCATTTTTAACAAACCCTGCATCCTCTCCCGTATGAACAATAATATATCTTTAACCTTTTGATACAGGCTCTATTACTTCTACGCCCTCTTCTTGCCAACATTTGCCAGATGTATGTGAAGTGTGAATGTAAGTTTCATCTAAATAAAATATAAATTTCATATAAATTACTAATCGAACAAAGCAACGTTTAGGAATAATGGTCTTGGTTTACGTTAACATTTTAATAAAACATTTTTATCGTTGTTGTTTCAAATGTCCAACTCTTAGATAAAGAATATACTTGATCCACGGTCCACTATCCACTAATGCAAACTACCTTGCGATTGCCACTTGAACTGAACTGGAGACTGTGACCAATCCACTAGGGATAACGAAGCGTGGGGGCGATCAGTGGCGTCGGATATAAAACGTCCTCTGCCCCCCCCACCCCCCCTACGCTATTTACAATAGACGTAACGTAGACACACTAGTCAAGTCAAATTTATATACTCTGTGTCCACTGGGTCAGTTATCCTTCTCTATCTATAAACTGTCAGCAAGTGTCAAAGTCAATGTCAAATAATGTCAATGTCGTATTTTTTATATGGTCTAAGAAAAATATTTGGATCATAATAAAAGTTATCGACAAAGTCGTACTTATATAGGTTTTTGATTTTGCAACAATTCAGGAAACAACGTAGGATCTACGTTATGGTATTTTAAATTATTGTTTAGAATATAGTGATAAATCGCCACCATGAACAATATAATATCGTGGACCGCTGAAGATGAGGCCATCATTGCGACTAACACGGATGCTACAGAGTGCAAGCGATGCGCCGTTGAATTAGGCTACTGGAAAGATGATTACATTGTGTATTTTGCGAAACATGTAGACAGAAAAGCTCCCGAAATTAATCGCGGCTACTACGCCAGAGTTAAAGCCATGGAAATGTTTATTCATCAGTTTTTGGAGGTCGGTAACTTCATTATTATACATATGAAAATAGATTTTATAAACCGTTAGAAACTCGTAACCCATACAACGGGTGGTGCTGGTGCTGGTGCACAATACTTACTAACCAAATATACTAAAGTTTTTAAAAAAAGTAAAGTTTTTTGATTTGTTTTCCAGCGGTGTGGCACAAAGTGTCAGATCATCAACCTGGGCTGCGGCTTTGACACTCTCTACTGGAAGTTGAAAGACTCAACGCAAGCAGTTGGCAATTTTATTGAATTAGATTTCCCTTCTGTAGTTGCTAAGAAATCCCACATAATCAAACGAAATAAGCAGCTATTAGAGAAGATATCTAATGAAGGTGAAAATATTCTTATTATTTATAAATTGTGTGCAAAGTCCGGCTTTGTATTATGTATATTAATAAAATTTTAGTGTGCGTTACACAGCTCTATAGGAGATAGGCAGAGTAGAGTAATGTTGTATTCAATTAGGGGTCGGCAAGTACAATAGATTTCAAGATATTCTGAACAATATTTACTTAAGTATACTATGGCTTTAAAAGATTTCAAATAAAAGGGCTAGAGATGGGTACAGAAGGCACATCTTGTTTGAAAAAAGTGTGTAATATTAATTAATAAACAGATGGCGAGGTCATGATCAGATCGGGCGACTTGCACTCGGATGGCTACCACCTGCTGAGCTGCGACCTGCGCTGCCTGAGCGAGGTGGTGCGCAAGCTGGAGGCGGGCGGTGCTGGGGGTGCTGGGGGTGCGGGTGGAGCGGCGCCCACGCTGCTGCTGGCGGAGTGCGTGCTGGTGTACCTGCGGCCGGAGGCGGCGCGCGCGCTGCTGGAGCACCTGGCCGGCGCGTTCCCCCGCTGCGTGCTGCTGGTGTACGAGCAGTGCAACCTGGGCGACAAGTTCGGCGAGGTGATGATGCGCAACCTGAGCGCGCGCGGCTGCGCCCTGCCCGGCGAGCCGCACTGCCGGGAGCCGGGGGCGCAGGCGGCGCGGCTGCTGGCCGCCGGGTTCGAGACGGCGCGCGCCTGGGACATGGACACGGTGTGGCGCGCGCTGCCGGAGGAGGACCGCGCGCGCGTCGAGGCGCTGGAGATGCTGGACGAGCGCGAGCTGCTGCAGCAACTCAACCTGCACTACGCGCTCAGCGTCGCCACGCGCGGAGACCTCTTCGCCGACCTCGACCTCAACGCGTAGACCTCAATCCCGCAATCATCTCGTCCAGAAGTTGATCCGTCGCTACGAGAGCGCACAATGCGTCGGTCCGCCCCTTCCTTCCCGTCTCTCATCAAGTTATCTATCACTTAAGCCGTAAATTTAGTTCGTAGCAGCAAATGAAGAGCCGATCAGTGAATAGTTGTCGACGATCTCTGGCATCGTCTGACGAGCACCTGGCACGTCCACGTCTCTCGAAATAAAGTTTTTCTCGTGCACTTGAATGTCGAGGAACTTTTTCAACTTTAAGTTTGTGCAAAATTGTAATAATCGGTGCATTTGTCGAGTGCAGAAGTGATAGAGTGGTTGTTTTATTCGGTGACTGAATGTGGTGCGTGTTCTTGTTGAATGTTATTTATCAGCCCCGAGCGCGTGTTTAGATCTTCTCGATGTGTATACTAGCCGTTTTTCATTACTACTTAAGTGTTACATAATTATTTTATTTATGATATAAATGCTGTACTACTGCTCTTTTCGTTTTATTAAATGCTTTTCCCTTAATATAAGCGCGTTCGCTTTGGATACAGTGTAGGTGTACACAAAATGAACAATGAATTCGCTCCGAAGCGATTCCATAACGAACTTAAAAAAATGTATTTAATTGACAATAAGTATTGAGAAGTGACCTCTGAATGTCGCGCCTCGGTTCCATACATTTTTGAAGTTCGCTATGGAATAGCTTCGAAACTAATGCACTTTGTTTAGAACTTCCGCAGAACTTCTGCCACTTTTGAACAACCCCTAATACTTCTTATAGACTTCCTTTTTGTAATCAAACAAAAATGCCCTAAAAATAACTTTAAAGTCACAGGTTTTTTTATACATTAATATAAACCGTAGGCCGCAATTCCATCCGCACGGTTTTAGAAAAAGAGCTAATTATTAGGCTATGTGTTCTTCCAGACTACGCTCTACGATCGTACCAAATTTTGGTGAGACGAATGCAGCCGCGTTCTGAAGATAATTTATAACAAACAAGATCAATTATGACGAACGATTTGAATTTTTGTTATGTAATTTATGAATAAAAGATTTTTTTTATAATTAATGATTAAATTCAAAAAGTACTGATTCAATTTCAAAATTCTTTTGTCCTTGTCAAGCTACAGTATCACTATTCGAGCGTTTCTTCATTCATTATTATGTATGTGTTACAATGACGCACACACAGAAAGGCAGTTAGTTTGTCGCGAGGTGCGAGGTGTCGGCGAGGTGCGAGGTGGCGGCGAGGTGCGAGGTGGCGGCGAGGTGCGAGGTGTCGCGAGTGGCGGCGAGGACGGCAAACTCATCACTGTATATGTTGTCAATTTGTACAGATGCAAATGAAAACTTTCTATTATATATTTAGAAGGCAAACCTTTTCTGCTATTAGTGAAATATCCTGACGTCTCAAGAATATCCTATTTTATTAATGTTTTTTCCACTTATTTTGTATAAAGGTGGAATATGTAGATATCATATTATCAAATAGCAGATGAAGTGTTCAATAGCTGCTGTGCACATTTTAACCAGTTGTTCTCCTGCCCCCTCCTGCCTCCCTCCTGCTCCTCTTCAGCTCGGACGCGGCGAAATTAAAAAGCGGTCAAGAAAGAAAATCAATCGATCTTTATTCAAGTAAACAAAGGTTAATAGCGCGTCACACGTGCGGCGTGCACGCGGCGAGCGAGCTTCACACGTGCGGCGTGCACGCGGCGAGCGAGCTTCACACGTGCGGTGTGCACGCGGCGAGCGAGCTTCACACGTGCGGTGTGCACGCGGCGAGCGCGCGGCGCAGCGCCTGGCGCACGTCGGCGCGCCCCTCGCAGAAGACGTGCGTGGCGTGCCGCTCCACGTGCACCAGCGTGTCGTGCCGCGGCAGGTGCACGATGCACCCGTCCGCACCCGCCTCCACGCGCGCCTCGCCCAGCCC